CCCTCGGCGATGGTCTCGCCGGCGCAATGGAAGGAAAGTATTCATAGAACCAGATCTACAAAAGGCTAAAGCATGAGTAAATGCTAACTAAACATATAGGGCTAAATTTTATAGGGAATAATGTTTACCTCTACAACTTTCCAGAAAGCAGACAAAGCGACATTCGTCCTAAGAGACCGGTGGCGACACGAGTCCCTCAGTGCGCGAACAAAGTCAGTATAGGCCAAGCTGGCCCAGTCATAAGTCTCGATCCGCCGGAGATCGCGAACAGCAGGGAGATAGTAAAGCAATGCCCTACTACCCCTATCAGGGGAGAATGTCCCTGACAATAACATCAGCACAAAGATGTGCACCCGCTGCTCTCGGGTGGTCGCATCGTCATCAAGAGCCGCTGCAAGTGTTGAGCGTCGGATCCCTCTAGCACTGAACTGATTCGTCTCGACCTCAGCTCGAGCCCGAACAGCAATCGGTCCCAATAGTTCCTCGACCTCTGGAGAAAAGACGTCGATACCGCCGTCGAATGGCAGCGGCACAGAAGAGAACTCCAGTCTTGTGATGAGACTGAAGTCTGTAGGAGTGACCATCATCTCACCCCATGGAAAATGAAATGTGTTGGTGGTGTCCCAAAAGAACTCCACCAGAGCGCGTACTACGTGGTGACCCCCGCTGGAGGCGACCATAGCCTCGGAGGTCTCAAACAGGGCAACCAGTCCGCAAGACTCCCATAGGAGTCTCGTCTCTCGATCTCTGGCGATATGCATCCTATACAAATCGCCGAGACCATCGCAGCCAGAGCCGTGATGCCGTGTCCTTCTAAGCTCGGTTCCCCGTCTCACCCTCTCAGAAATATGGTGGACAGGGGCAAAGAACAAGGTCCGCTCATCCCACTCTTGGAACTGACCAAGCGAGGTGGACGGTGTGGTGTCGTCTTCCACGGGTTCATGCTCCCGTCTAGTGTTTCGAGACCGTGAACCGGAGCCTCGTTGTCTAGCCATGCTACATTGTGCAGAATCATCATAAATCAAGGTTTTATAGTATCTAAAGGTTTGCCTAGCCGCATGATACTATGTTCGCAAAAACAGAGTATGTAGTACTAAAACAGAGCACAAATTCGAATTGAGCATGATAAGCATTTTTCAAGCAATCAAACAATTTCTTGCAACACTATAGTGATTATTGTGACAAATTGAACAAGAATTGCTAGCAAAAACATCAAGAACGAGCCTGTTTTTCACGACCTTAGGAGGTCCAACAATGGCGGATTGCTCATTTCTTCGCCAACTTGAGTCAAACAAGTCTCAAATTACTCCCAAAGCAATATACAAACATAAACAAGCAATTTCATGGTATGAAGTTTGATAAATAAAGCAAATTGAGCATTATAAGTTTCGAATTTTCATGAAATTCGTGAATGAACATGCCAATAATTCATAAAAACCGGTGTAAGTTGGAAGGAAACTTACATAGATCGGGAATATGGATGAAAAGAGCTTTGATTTGCAACAAATTTGAGCAAATTCGGTTGATAAATGAATGAGCAACGATCAATTGAAGTTTCGACTTCTTTCGAGTAGCACGAAATGAACTGAAAACGGGATTTTAAAGTGATTCCCGTGCTGGCGCCAGTCCCTAGGCATTGGCGTCACATTCTGTGCTTGGCGTCAGACGCCAATTTCAGCGCATGGCGCTAATGCCATATGTTTGGCGCTGATCGATTTTCAGCGACGCCAAAGCAGCCAGCCACCTTTTGGGGTAGTGCTAGCCTTCTGCAATATATTTTGGGTTCCTTGGTACGCCAGTTAGCCCCTCTTAGCAATTTGACATGATTAGGTAATCGGCTTGATTACATGAAGTGATCGACCTGATGAAAAGATCGTCTCACTAAGCTTAAAGCGCCTAAGCATTGGTTCATTAGCAAAAGGCACTGACATACAGGTTCATTAGCAAAAAAAGGGCACCGACATATAGGTTCAAGAGCAAAAAGCGCCGACGTACAAGCATAGCAAAAAATCAAAGTTCAGGTGAACTTTTAAAGATCGATGGGTGTGGATCTTCGGTATTTTCCTTTGGGAGATTATCGCATCAAATGAGGATGACTTCAAGAGAAAGATGTCTTCGACATCATTCCCTAGCTTGCGGAAAGTTGTCTGAAGGTAATTTCGGGCGAAATTGTCTTCGATCATAGTTCCTGAGGCATGGAACGTGATCATAATGCGGATGAGAATTATTTCAAGAGAAATAATCTTCGATGGTATTCCCTTGGACGTGGAATATTATCACGGTGGAGAGGATAGTTTTAGGCGAAGCAATCTTCTAATTCGGAAGCAGTTACAAGGCGTAGCGGTTTTCAAGCGGGATGACATTCTCTAGCTTGCAGGAGGTCATCAAAGCAATCGGTTACTTTCAGAGACGTGTGCTCGACGGTGCAAGATACACGTTTCTTAACTCTTTTATCTGTTTAACTAATGCTAGTTTTGCAGGTATCGGCGTTATAAGATTGATTTAGGATCGCAGAACGTTCTGAATCATTCTCCGTCCCTATCGATACTTTGACTTTCGTTTTCGAAACTTGCGTTTCTCCAAACTCAGTCAAAGTGGGGGCTTCTGTAGACACCCATTTGTGTCTCCCCAAAACCAAACCCAGTGATGAGTGCCTTTCACGCCGAATCATAATCAAATGAAACGAAAGTGTGGAAAAGTCTAGTGTTGCGGAAAGTTTTATTTCTTTTCTTTTCTTTTCTCTTCTCTCTGTTTTTGTAAACTTTATTTTAAGAAAACAGCCAATCCAGTTTGGTTGGTCCATGATATGGGTCCAATAGTGGTATAGTTAGATGGGGCTTGCAAAGACCTTTCCAACGATATATTATAAGCCTAATTCCGATGAATATTGAGGAATTTATGGCCAATTTACTAAACTGGGCCCGGTTTGAGTTTTAAGTACGGCCCAATGATCTAGGGGAGGGCCTAATATGATTTATCAGTCCTAATGTAATTAGGAATGGTTTTGGTCTTCGAACATTCTTGAAGGTTCTTATCATTCTTAATTCAATTAGGATTCTTTAGAGTTTTAATTAGATCAAATAGCATTTTCGACTGAAATTATATTATTTTATCTTCCAGTACGGTAAAATTATCAGATTTTCGAAAACGTGTTAAAAGCCGGTTTGGCGTCCAACCCCAGGCCTTGGCGCCTGGCGATAGCCACTGGTCCTGGCGCCAATGAGCCAGGGCTGGCGCCAAGTTGTTTTTGCGATCTTCAGACTCTGTTTTGATAAATTATCTTTTTTGGCTGATTTTCTCTATAAATATCGTATCAAAAACTCCGTTTTCATGGACGGATTATCATCTACCATTCACCACTTCTTTTATTCTTAATTTTTGATAAATTCCGTTTTCATTCATCATCTACAATCTTCAATCGTCAACAAATTAGTTTATGAATCATTAATCTTTCATTCATTCTTTCTAAACTTTATTCTTTAACACAAAATTCCGCATTCACAAGATCTAGAAACACCTAGCCATATTCGAAGTTGCCTTCGCCCTAAACGTGAAAGGTTTTAATTTCTGAGGGTTTGGTCCCAAATCTCTATTTCAATTATTTAATTTAATTGCTTTGTTTATTACTTTCCTTGAAGTTACTAACGTGTGTATTTTGTAATTAGAAAGAGGTACGAGGCATCCAAGTAAGTACTTTAATGGTTTAATTGATTTCATGATGTAGATATCATGCTTAAATTGTTATTTTGATGATTCTTAGTATCATGTCTAGGGTATTTTTAATATTAAGCGTAATTATTTATGATTCTTCCTATGTTCTTTCTAACATTTATGATTATGATTGATGATGATTATTTATTATGTTGCTTGATATATATTATATATTGTTATTGCTTGATCACCTTTTATTGCAGGTTAAAGGGAATTGGTATTTGCAATCACGCTTGATAAGATAATTAATAATCTTGTTAGGTTAATTGTGATTATAAATTCAAGTGATCGCCAATAATAGTTTATTTGTGCATTAAATTCAACCAACATAGATTAAACAAGTTTAGGGTTAATCCTATTGATTGTATGTTAATCAGAAAGTGCACATGAATACGAGCAGAATAAAGTAGAGGCCTATTATTAGGTAGGTTCAATCTCTTTTAGGTTGGATTTGTACCTTCATCCCTGAACCCCTTTTTGGTTCATGACCTTATGGAGTTGACGATCTCTTGGATCGTTAAGGGGTGTAACCTTCACCTCGTGAACGGTTTACAAGTTCCTTAAAAACTTGTTGGCGACTCTTTTGCTCTATCTTCTTCCCTTTTGGACGCTACGTACTTTAGTGTATGATCACAGTGGGGTTCGAGCTAGTGGGATTTTTAAAGGCTTGAAATTATTCCCTACAACCACAAACAGGTATCATCGTGCAAGCAACAAATACTGCTACCAACTCAATCACCCCTCAATACAAAATACTAAAACTACAATTATGAAATTGAGGACTTACCCTACAAGTTGCCTTCACATGTCTTTGTAACACTTCACCTCTCCTTTTCACTCGACCACCAATAGTTAAGGAATCATCCTACAAGTTCAAGCCACTACATAAGGCCCATTACTAATTTAAGTTGCCATAACCAAATACAAACTGCTTAATTACCTTGAATACCTCGGGGGAAAGCTTCTTCATGGTAGGTCCTGCTCCTATTCCATCCTAAAATGCATGTTAATTACACGTTAGATAAACAAACTATATGGGGAAAGTGTCTAATCCATGTTTGAAGCATAACTGTACACCTCATCGTCAATTCGAATGCTGCACATTTTGCGCTTCCTGTAACCTCCCTCCATGTCGAAAGAATTAAACACATTTGCAAAACGGTGTTACAATCAACGGCACATGCAAACATGTTACAACGTTTTTGAAATAATCCTTAACCCCGTCCAAGTTAACGTTCGTTAACCCCCAGTTACTCACATTTTTTCCCCTTCACTATTTTACCCTTACTAAATGATACGAAAAGTCTTTCGCACCCTCATATAAACAACTGATGTTAATATGACATATTAACAAGACATTTCTCATTAATTCATTATTCATGCTTTACCAAAATTATTGCACTCACTCGACTCCAACTATTTCCCTCCACAAAATTATTGTACTGTACGGAGTTCTCTCCTTTAGTCCTTTTCCTAGAAAAATTCCTTTTTATGCATTTTAAAGGAGAGACTCAGTGAGTGATAGTGAGAAACTGAGAATGAAGATTTTTGTCAAGAATTTGAAAGGAAATCACTTTCAACTTCAAGTCAAACCCCAAGACACGGTTCGTAATTCCATCTCAATCATTCCAATTTTATATTTCCAAATTTCCAACTTCATCTTCTTAGTTCTTTCCTTTTCATGCAATCTGCTTTTTGTTTTCTTAAATAATATAATCGTGTTCATTTTTTTGAGACATTGATTGCAACTGCAACGTTTTTATAGAAATTTTTGCACTTTTTTTTGGTTCACATTGCTCTATTTTATTGTTTAATGGACTTGTTTGTACCTAAAATATTCTGGGTATTTTTTCACTGTTGTGGGAAATTTCGCAATTGCAAATCATTTTGGCCAGAATTATTGAACCAGCCAAAAACAAAAATTTAACTGAAATTGAGTATTGCAAAGTTAATTAAACTAGTAATTATGAAATGGGGTTAAGTGTTAGAATTGTTAAATTTCGTAGAAGGTTATAACATAAAGTTTTCTGGTATATTGGTAACTGCAAGCCAATAATAAAACTGACGGAGTACCTCATACAAATATGTTGTATTCCCTTTAGTTATGAACTATTTCTGCTGATTAATTATGTCAAATTGAGGAAATTGAAAGTGTTTGAAAATGTATATTGAGCATTATGTTTTGACTTCAATTTAATGAGGAGGCAGGGTGTTTCTCTACCGAAAGATACCGAGTTAGCCATGCTTGTTGATTTGAAAGGGACAATTTTTGAAATCACAATGATGTTTCTTATTGTAATCGCATCATGTAGGATTTTTATAGGAGCTGATTTTGTTAAATTTTTTGTATAGAACATCTAGGATGTGCTATTGTTGTGAATTTGTGGTATAGCAGATATTGGGTAACTGGAAATATTATCATTTTGTTGGCATATGTTATGTAATGGACTGAAACTCGCACATAAATATTCAAAGAAAACACAACATTGAGGCTTGACTAAAAATGATGATTCTACTTCTTGTAAAAGACAAATTTCAAATTAAAAAAGGAAATTAAGCTGAAAGGTTTGAGTCGTGAACTCGTGATTGATTGAAATAAACAAGGTTTCTTACAAAATAGTAGGTTTAGCCTACAACTCTCTAATAGTGTAACTTGAGATTACAAAATTTCTAATAGTGACTTGAGGTCACAACTCTCCTAAAATATTCATTCCAAAGTCTGCCTAATATTTCCTTTCCCTCTCTCTCTATTTATATTAAAATTAACTACCCAGCATCCATGTTGCCCTTCCTTAGGTTAATCTGTTACACGTATCTCTAATATGGATCAATATGAGTTTTGAGAATTGTCATTTCAAGAATCAAGACATATACACTTGTTCCGCAGTATTCGCACTGCTAATATATAATATCACTATGAATCTTATTGTTGGTGTTCATTTGGTCATGAATCTTGTTAGGTAGGTGACGTCAAGAAAAATATTGAATCTATACAAGGAGCAAATGTCTTGCCTGCCTCTCAGCAGATGCTTATTTATCAAGGGAAAGTTCTTGCAGATGGAACTACATTGGAGGAAAACAAAATTGCAGAAAATAGTTTTTTAGTTGTCATGCTGTCTAAGGTACATATCTTGATATATGACATATATCATTTGCTTTAGATAAATAATTCATGTGGTGACTGTGCTAAATCTGTTACCAGGAATTGGTAGCCTTGTTGACATACTACCTCCGTTACATATTATGTGCAACGATTAGACATTTTTCCTCTCTACTTTAAATCGTTGCAAATAATATGTAACGGAAGTAGTATTTTTTTTCTGCTCTTGTTGTAACTTGTAAGGATCATCATTAATCTTAGGTATTGAATGTTCTGTATTTTCCTTGACCAGCTATAATGCGGACTTCACAATACAGCTTGTCAAGGAAAGTGCATTCTTAAAATGCAAATGGTCCGTCAGATAGGAAGGGCATTAACACAAATTAGTGATCAAATTATTTGTAAGCTATTAGATTTTTTTCTTTTTTTTCCTTAAAAAAATCTACAGAAGAACTTTGTGTGGCCATCTCCTAGGATTTCTTTCAACCTTGTTTATTTATGATATAGAAAGTCCCATCAATAATTAATAATATGACATCTCATTTTCCCTCTAGCACAGCTCCTCATTGCTTATGAGTACATATCCACATAACACAAGCCCCCCCCCCCCCCCCTTCTTATAAGGGCAGGCATTTTATTTGTTGTCTTGTTGCGTTCCTGCCAAGTACCAATCTGAGTGTTTTCTTGTTTTGTGCCTTCCTTTCATTTATTTGCTGGGGCATTATGTTGGTAGGAAGCCATGTGACACTCTGTCTTGCTATAATTGAGAAGCCAAATTGTTGACAAGATGTCCTGTCCAGATCTTTTCGCTTGATTCCCTAAGTCATATGTGCCTAGCTGCTGCAGGAATTAGCTATTGTTGCTATCATTTCTGATTTAGTGAAGGCCCATTTTTTTTTAATGCTTTTTATTTTTTATTGTTTATTTTCTTTTTTCTTTTTGTGAATAGTAAGAATGAAAAACACTAGGTAATCAGAGGATAAATGATGGTGTTTCTTTTTCATCTGACCACTTCGTTCACAGGTCTATGAGTCTACGACCCATTCTTCTCTTTGTTCCCTTTCTTTTCTTCCCCTTCAACCCCTTGGATGGGCAAGTCCATTGTTCAGTTTATTTGGACAAGTCTTCTTCAAGCTAATGGCCTTGTTTGGCAAATGGCTGTTGGCGGTTGGCTGTTGGCTGGTTCACTTGGCTTGTTTGACTAGCTGAAATGTTTGGCTGTTTATAATAGCTTTTGAAATTGGCTGTTTATAAAAGTGTTTGGTAAATTAATTGTTGGTTGTTGGCTGTTTATTAGATAATTTGTGGGCCAATAAGCCAAAAGCCAACAAAAAAACTACTTAAAGCAGCTTTTTCATTTTGGCTTAAAAGCCAGCTTTTTTGCTGACTAAAAAGCCAATTACCAAACACATTTTTTTGGCTGTTTGACTACCTAAAAAAGCCAAAAGCTAACCAAAAAGGCATTAAAAAGCCAATTACCAAACATGGCCAATGTGTTCAATATCACTTTCGACTTTTGGTCTTTTTGAGGTTTTTTTTCCACGAACAATCTATGTACTTTTCTTTTTCTTACATTACCAATTTGATTGTAACCAATTAGTGCTCCATTAGTGTGTGCTTTTGATGCAACTTTGTACGGGCCACTTTGTACTACTTTTCTTTCTTTTGATGGCTGTGTAAATTATATTGCTTTATTTTAACCAAAACTAGTTGTTTAGCCCATTGGCATAGTGTGAGTTTGGAGTTTGTTGACAATTGTTGAATTGATTTTCTTTTCATTTTTTTATAATTGTTGAATTGAATTCCGGAGTTAAAATTGATGATATAATTATTTTGGGGAAGGTCAAAGAGAATGTTTAGGGGAGAAGAGAAAAGACCGGAAGGTAGAGATAGGAGGACACATGTAATTTCTAAGAAAAAAATGAGTGGAAATAAAATAGGAGATCAATCAATCAATCAATCAAAGCCTTAATCCCATAGATAGGAGATATGGCATAAAAAATTTCTGATATAAAATAGTTGTAAAGATGTTAAGTATTAGGCTTAGAGAAACGATGGTTTGATCAAAGTGCCCTTAGGTTTGGTGTACATCCACTTCTTACTTCTTTCTTGCCCATTGAGATACCGTAATCAAGTTTAACTATTTCCTCCTTTCCCGAAGTTTGACTCCATTACATACTACGGACTATTGTTTCTAAGAAATTTTGGAAAAGTGAAGGGATGTAAAAAAATTTGGATAATTTAAGAGAGGGTGACCGAAAAAGGTGCAAAATATTGCGAGGTAAGAGGGTAACATGGTAATATGTGGTTGCCAAAAATAGAATAAGTAAAACTGAATAGAACAGTTTGAGACACCCCAAAAGAAAAATTCAGGCAAACTCTCAAGAATGGAGTGTGAGGGTTGTTTTTTTTTTTTCTTCTTCTTATGTATTTCTGGCCTTATGTTGTTGCTTCTGAATTTGTCTATTTGACAAATATCATTTGTAATGGCAATAAATTCTGAAAAAACCAATGCAATGTTGTCTTCTTTAACTATGAAATGATTTTGATATTAGGGAGAGGTGGCTCCATGATTTACACCAATCCTCAGCGCTTGGGAGTAAATTGTTTTGTTAGATATTTTTCAAATATGGAGAAGCAAATTTTTTTCTTTCCCAGAATGAAGGAGATATGGAACTCTGATATTAGATAATTCATTTGGGATGTGTGCTATGTTCACGGAAGGATCTTTCAACCTTTTAATTCATATATTGATCTAAGAAGACTAGAAGGGGTAAAGTTAGGTGTAATAAGGTACTGTTGCAGAAGTATATTAGACTAAAGACGTAACAGTAATGCCAAAATAACTCTTTGATTGCATTTCTAGCTAGTTTTCCTTGTCGAATCTCTTTGATTTCCATTTTCATTAACACTGAATGATTGTGGATTGCCAGAGTAAGAGTTGGTCTGGGGAAAGTTCAGTGACAGCAGCAGTTATGCCTACATCCAAGGTAAGAACAGCTTTAGGGTGTTGTTCATGCAATATGTTTCTTGAATTTTCTCTTCACCGGATTATTTTAGTTTGAAAGCAACAACAATTATCTGCCTCAGAGATGGGATTTAGAGAGGTCCTTATATGAAACCATTCCCTAGAGGTCATAAAAGTTTTTTTTTTTTTTCCAACCTGATAAAATAAAATGGCTGTTTTAAAATACCTGCAGAATTCTCTTTATTTATTTATTTATATTTTTTATTTTTCCTGGAAAATGCTATTATGAAAGAAAATTAGGCTATCAAATTCATAAGATTGGGCTTTCATAGGATCAAAGCAGGTTGGCTGAAGTGGAAGAGTGTGACGGAGTTTTTATGGGAGTTTTTATGTGATCTTTACACATCATAGGTTGAAGGGTAAATTCTACCAAATGGTATTAAGGATGGCTTTCTTATATGGTATAGAATGCTGGGCTAAAAAACATTGACACGTGCATAAGATGAATGTGGCGGAGATATGTATGTTGTGATGGATGTGTAACGATGCAAGAAAAGATCGGTTGAGGAACGAGATAGTTAGGAAGAAAGTAGGGGTTACATCGAGAGTACAAGATGTGAGAGAATCACTTAAGGTGGTTTGACTATGTAGAGAGGAGACCAAGTGAGGCTCCAGTAAGGAGGCTTGAAGAGTTGCAAAGTGTTGGAATCACGAGGGGTAGGGGAAAACCTAAGAAAACTTGGAAGAGGTTGATTGAGAGTGATATTAGTGCTTTAGGGATTGTGGAAAACAAGGTCTTAGATGGAGGTGTGGAGGGAGAAAATTCACGTCGACGACATGTCATAATTATATATATAGGCTTTTTTCATTTAATCTTAGCATTTACTTGTATTATTTTGGCAAATTTGTCAAAAAAACCCTTTTAAAAGCACCATTTTTTTTAAAAAAAAACCTATTAAAATTTTTTTGGTAAAAAAACCACATCATTCATTTTTTTTTTCGAGAGGAAACCTATTCCCCTAATTACCCTCTAACTTAATTAAACTATAAAATTTTCTAATAAACATCTAACCCACCAAATTACTAAATAACTAGTTTTGTGCCGTACGATGCCCGGGTTGTTTATTGAATTTTTAGATATATTTTAAATCTATATGTCAAATTTTAAAACATATTATTGATACAAAATTAGTTAGGAATTGATGTGTTTTTGTGACGATTTAAACTTGTAGACATGTAATGACTAATAATAATAATATTGGTGAAAAATGTTTCTTGACCCGTAACTTGAAATAATGACCCAGCCTAAAATGACTAGTAACCCGACCTGATTTACAGGTCTACACACAGTAATAAAATTATATTAGTCTGTGAAGGCTATTATTTTAATTGATTATATATTATAAACAATGGATGTGGTACATTTTGAACTAAGTCCTTCGCTCCAGAAAAATATTATGATATAAAAAATAAATTTATATGATAATTTATGAGAGTTATATTATAATTATTTTTTCAATAAAATTATAATTCAATTTGTACTTTATTTAAAAATAAAATTCTATGATAAAAATATTTGTACTTTATCAAAAATAAAACTCTAACGGTTTGTTTGGCATTGTAGTGGTTTTCTGTTTTTTGGTTTTTTGTTATATAAAAGTATATGATATATGTCACATAATAAATCAAAAATTATTTAAACTTATTAAAATCATAATAATTTTGAAAACTGACAACCAAAAAGTGAAAACACCTTTTTCTTGTTTCCTGTTTTTGGTTTTTAGTTTTCAAAAAAATAGAAAACTGAAAATAAAAAATGATGCCAAACAAGCCCTAAATTAACAATTTCATCCTAAAATTCTATCCAAATTTGCTTGAAATAAAATTCTAAACTAACTTTTTTATCCTACAAATTGAATTCTATGTAACTCTATCCTACGTGGCACGACACTTGGCGAAAAGTTGGAACGCCAAGTGTCAAAACCTCGTCGCCTGGCTAAAAGTTTAGCTTTATATATTAGTTATATGATTAGATTTAACTAATATATATAAAAAAAAACCACCACCCCCTCCTTCCTTCTCCCTTCCTCCCTCCCCTTACTCCTCCTTCCTCCTCCCATGAAATCAACCTCTCCCCCACCGGACCCGCTGTCTGAATCCCCCTACCTTCAGCGACCTCCTCCATCGCCAGATGACCCTCCCTTTCTCCCTAATCACATCAACAACCATTTCCTTGATTTTGAAAAACCCTAGAAAATTGATTTAGGGTTTTTAATTTTGTGTATCTTTTTTGCACTTGATTCTTGTTTTGGTTTCGATTATGTATGTATGTGATACTAGGGTGATTGAGAAATAAATTGGAATTGATTTGGACTTGATTTGAGCATGTTTGAGTATATAAGATCCAAAAATTCGAAAGGGAGGTGGTGGTCGCCAACGGGGATAAGGGAGGAAAGGGATGGTTCACCGGCGGTGGTGGTAGGTCGCCGGAGGTGGGGGGGATCTTAGCGGTGGGTCCAGTGGGTGAGGGGGTTGCTTCAAAGGGAGGGGGAAAGGGAGGAAGAAGGGAAAGGATGGTTGGTTGGTGGTTGTGGTGGTGGTTTTTTTTATTTTTTTTTATTTTTATATAAATTAAATATATTTATTAAGTAATTGGGTGGGTTAGTGGTTAATTAGAAGAAATGAGAGAAAATTAGAGTCTAATTAAGTTAATTAGAGTATAATTAAGGAATAGGTTTCCTCTCGAAAAAAAATAAACGTGGTGGTTTTTTTTAACCAAAAAGGTTTTAAAAGGTTTTTTTTTGACAAATTTGCCTATTATTTTACTCAATTCGATAATTTAATTTTTTTTTATTTTCATTGCTAAAGATTTCTCAAACCATTATGTTTTTTTACTCACATGTTTTTACCACTCACTCTTTTAAAACTTTCTTAAATTTTATCCTTGGTACTCTATTAAAACTCGTAATTTTTACTTGGATACTTTTTCTTTTGGAAAAATGGAAAAGAAAAATCAAACCTTTGCACTTTTTCCTCCTAAAAATCCAACCTTCATTTTATTCCTTTAAAATCCAACCTTTATACCCCCTCTTCATCTAAAGTTCCATTACCTGTTGATGACCGGTTTCTTTAAGTTAGATGCCACGTGTCAGGTATTAATAGGTCAATTCTTTTTTTAATTATTAAAAAACAAAAATAATTAAAAAAAATTAAAAGACAAAAAAAAAGTATATATCAAATTTTCCGGCCACCATCCTCACCACCTCCATTAAATCCAGCCACCATTCCTCGCCACCCTCCGTTAAATCGGCCACCATTCTTCACCACCTCCCTTTGCGACCATCCTCCCCTTACCCTCCCTTTCCAGCCACCCTGTTTTTCAGCCACAACCTAGCTCGCACCACCGCCCAACTCTGTTTCCACCCTCCATTTCAGCAGCCCCGCAAATCGTAACCACCGATTCCAAACCGCCTAGCCACCAACTCCAAACCGCTACAGTTCCTCAGCCCAAACAAGCCACACCACCATCACCACCACCTTAAACCTTCAGCCGCAGCACCGACCCATCTCCACCTCATCACCAATTCGCCACTTGCAATCACCAATTTGCCAACCACAATCCCCAAACAACCACCATCACCCTAATTCATTGTAGCACCATAATCCTAAGCAACATCATTCACAGAAACAATGTAGAAAAATCCCAAAAAAAAAAAAATGAAAATCGATACAAATTCAAACGCAAATTCTTCAGAAAATCCAAAACAAAATTTTCATTTGAATTCAAGATCTTCAATTGGGTGTATATTTCTCCAACTACTTTAAGCTGTTTGCACTGCGAATTGGGTGGGTTCGGGTTTCGGATTTTGGTGGTGGTGACTGGGTTATGGTGTTGGTGCGAGTTGTTTGGGGTGGTAATGGTGGGATTTCTTGTCATGGTGGTGGTGAGAGTGGTTACAGGATGGGTTGTGGTGGTGAGAGGGTGGTTGAATGGTGTTGGTGGTGTTTTGGTGGTATGGTGTTGTGGTGGTGTTGGTGGCGTATTGGTGGGTAGTTGTAGGTTGTTTTCATTTTTTAGGAGAGAGGAGAGAGAAAGAGGAGGAGTGAGAAAAGAAATTGAGAGAATTAAATAAAAAATAAATTCAAAGGTAAAATGGATCTGTTAGAGAAGGAGGGGTATAAAGGTTGGATTTTAGAGGAATAAAATAAAGGTTGGAGATTTAGGAGAAAAAAGTGGAAAGCTTGGATTTTTCATTTCCATTTTTCCTTTTCTTTTTCTCACTTTACACACCTTTTTCCAAACATATTCAACTGTTTAATTTGTTATGTCCTTTTTCCAATAGTCAGACGGTTCCTTATGACGATTCACGCTAGTTGATCCTAAATCATTTTGGTAATAAGGCTTTGTAAGCAAAATTTTCGTGATTATGATGATGATAATTAGGGTTTGCAAAAGGTTTCATGAAGAAGAAAACAACTGACTTTCCTTAAATATGTTTTCTCATATATTAGCAGCAATAAACAAGCAACAAAATGAAGAAATAACCGTCAAATCAGCCCAAGGCATCGCCCGTGCCCGACCGGGCAGGTGGGTGAAAAATCCTGGACCCTTACGCGCCCAGTCTGGCAGCAGAGACCCTACCGGGCGGTGAGACCCAAATCTCATAAATGGCTTCTCGCGCCTTGTAGGGCCTACTGGCGAAAGACCTGCTATTTTGCTTCGTTGCTCTCATGCCTGCCAGGCGGCAGACTTGCCGTCCTTTCCTTCCACTCGCGCCACGCCATGTGGAGCAAGCCCTTATCGGGCTGCTACGTGATTAATTACTCCTAATTACTTGTTTGATTAAGACACAACACCTTAACCTAAGTGAATCAATCAAACAACATGAAGTTTGTCTCTCTAAATTATTTAACAATCCTCCCCCATTTAGAGAATTAAACTAGACTCATTGTAAAAACATCATCATCATAAAAGGCAATCTTATGCATAAATGAAAGTGCACAAAGACTTGAACTCCCACT